TGATTTGTCTTTGACAGTTTTAAATGTGAATTGTGTTAAATACTTGCTCTTAATTGGTACAGAGTGAACTTGTTCTAATGTCACCTTGTAGTGACGAGCCATTATATGGCTGTGGTAGATTCCTGATCACTGGAAAAAGTTGCAGTATTTTGCCTGTCTCTGAACTGTTGTAAAAATGCCCAAATGAGGTGAAATTTTAAGTTGTAATTGTATTTTTTTTTGCCACTTGGAGGGATTAAAAAAGCATCAAGAGAAGAAATCCAAGTTTCTGAAAGGGATGGCTTTTTAGAAGACGTCTCTTGACTGTAAAAATCAATAGCAACTCGTACTGAAGTCAGTCACTCAGATTCAGACTGTCCATGAATTTGGTGCTGGTTTAAGGTTTCGTTATGACGCTCTCGGTAACGCAGGACGTCTGTCTTCGTTGTTACTGAAGACCTGAACAACGCCCTGGCTGTAGATGGGCAGTTTTGCACGTGCTACAGCGGTTGTACCTGCTATAAACATGAGACGACCCAAAACTTTTCTCTCCCTGCAGGGTATCGAGCGTCTTAAAAATCAGAAGCCGACCTGGGAGAAGATCAGTGGCTGGGAGGGGATGAAGATGGCGTTCGGCGGTGCCTTCTCCTTGGTTTGGTTCAATCCCTTTTCGAACCTGAACTGTGAGAGCCCGGCACCGACCGAAGCATCCTGCCTCTGCAATAATGACCCAAGAAGAAATCGAACAGTTTCTCGCTGAAGATGTTGCTGTCCAAGTGTTACATGAGTAAGCAAAGCATCCTCCAAGATGTCAAGAGAAGCTTTCAGGTTTTTGGTTTTTTAAATAACTGCGTGTGCTGGAGGTTTAAGGGGTGTGTTTTTAACATACTTTGGGTGCCTTAAAAAATTCAGGAACAAGATGCAGCACTGGCAGAAGCAATGCAAACTCCAGAGAAAGCTTTATAAGTGATGAGATTCATAAGCTCCTTTTTGGACCTGTGACAACTGCTTTATTGAGCTTTTCTTACTTGGCCTTTAAGGAAAGTTTATAATTGTTGGATAGATCGGTCCCAGCTCCCAGACATGTGTCATCCTAAGGAGTTTGGTAAATGTTTTTTTCTTGCAGCCTTTTGGAGGGCTAAACAATAAGCTCTGTGCAATGGCCAGATCAGCCCGGCTCTAAAGATTTTCTTGAAAAACACATCCTTTTTAGCTCATTCCATGGATGTTGCCTCTGGATTGTGAAAGCTGCTGGTGCTCAGGACTTAGCAGAGGTGGGATACCAGGCTACAGCTGCAGCAGATGTGTGAGCTCGCCCTAGGTGTAATTCCTTTTCAGCATCAAAATATCTCCAGGGGTAAATTCTAACTCTCTGTGCTCGTGGGGCTGCCCAAGACTGGTGGGGCTTGGCTTGAGTGGTGCCGGGGCCAGCCAAAAGCAGGCAAGTATTGGCCAGGTCGTCCAGCTGCTGGGGGGGAGAAGCTTTCACCCAGGGGCTGTGGTTCATTGTGGGAACTGCCTGGCCAAACTGCAGCCTGGAAAGCAGGCAGCTGGGACTGTTTTCTGTGGTCAAGGAAGAGAGGGAGGCATGAGCTCCCTGCTGATGGAGGTACTGGCTCTTTCTCTTTGACTTATCTAATTTAGAAGTCTCTTCTTTTTTTTTTTTCTTCTTGATAGCCAGAGTTGGTTGAGAATGAATGTTGCCTCTTAATCTTACTGGTGTTTAACATTGTCCTATTCATACTGGCCATTCGCCAGGATTTTCTTACACTAATTTTGCAGCCAGCTCCTGGTGAACGTTGATGAACTTGCAGAAGGAACACGCATCGCTTGAGGAAGGCATCACTGCAGGTGGCAATAGCTGCAGCAAAATCATGCAGAGGTGATGCTGACTGCTGTGTTCAAATACGCTACAAAACTTGGCATGCTCCAGATGTCAGTGTTGTTTTAATTTAGACTGCTTCTCAATTGTTTTTTTTTATTTCCCATTGTCTCCCTTAGCTTAATTGTCAGTAAATTTTCCGGGTTATTAAAGACACGCTCCTGGTTTTCCCCCACAGGACACGCTTGATTTTATCTCCCCCTTCTCTGTAACGTGGACCAAAGAGAGTTGCTCCCTTTAGAAAGCAGAAGAAAGGAGTTTGGGGGATGAAAACATGGTATTGTGAAAGACCTACATGAAGTTTTTGTTATTTATAGAAGCAATACCAAATGGAATTAGTGCAAGATTTTCTTTTTTCTTTTCCCCGCCCCAAAAAGCATCTTAATTTGTGTTAATGATGTGACATTCAGGGCTACTGTGGAAGGATGAGATTCTCGCCTGGACTTATCCTCTGCCACAGCAGTCCCTTTTTCTGGCAAAGGGGCTAGAAACAAATGGAGTGCCGTGACTGCTAGGAGCACAGCTTGACTAAAACCCAGGGGATGTTTCCAAGCAGTTGTCCCATCCCCTCTGGTTGTCTCTTCTTTGTCGATGAAGAATAGATTTAGAAAAGAAATCAGTCAGACTTGTGTATTTATAAAAACCTTTTTGGTAAAGGGAAACACTCCGCATCTGGGGGGAACTGAGGTGTCCTCTCACGTCGTTTAGACGTGGAGTTTTCAATGTCTGCGCTCTGTGCAGCAGCACGGCAGTGAGGGAAGCAGCTCTTCTGCCTCTGCACCAGCCTGTGTCCCTCCCTGTCGGCATCCCCCAGGAAAGGGGCATCAGGGACATATGTAGATCTGTAAGGGATTTCCTATAGGGAACAACAGGGATGTTGAAGGAGGAGAAGCAAGAGTGCCTTTTTTAGCTCATGTTTTCTAATTTTGGCTTGCTGCTAGGCCTCTGCATCCAGTTCACATCCCTGCCTCCAGCACCATGGCTGCAGAGTGGGAACAGTGCTACCAGGTCCTGGGGGGAGAAACTAGTTGATGGTTAAAATTGCCTTGAGGCAAGTGCATGGGGGCATCAGCTTGGGTGAGACTCCCTTGCCCTGCGTTTTGGGGATGCCTCTCGGGACACGGACCCTGCTTACATGGCTTTGGGTGGACATGGACAGAGGCAGCATGTTTCCTCCTCCACTCTCAAACCTGATTCACCTCATCATGAGAACAGGCATTTGTTTCCCACCTCTCATGTTGTTCCTCGGGTGCTGGCATTTCTGGGCCTTTTTGTTTTTAATAGCTGAAACAGAAAAGCAGTGTGAAGAAGAGACTGAGAGCCAGAACAGATGTCTCCCCTCCTCCCACTGTGCAGTTACAGTCCAAGTGAGAGACAGGGACGTGTTCCTGTGCCCTATGCAGAGCCATGGGGAGCCAGCCCAGCCCCAGCTCTGGTGCCCCCCGGCACCTGATGGGGTGACTTGCGATGTCCAGCATGTTGGTTGTTCTGGTGTCTCTTGGCCGTTGGTCCCCTCGTTCCCCCTCTTCTTCCTCCCCTGCAACATCCCTGAACCCCTCGGTGCATCTTCTCTGTCTCGGTGTAGTGTGGCAACTGTCAGAAACCGCAAAAGCCTTCAAGAGCTGGAAAAAGTCTGTTTTATGCACAGCTCTGGCAGAAACCTCCTTCTTTAATGACTACCTAGTAGCTTGAGACCAAACGTGATTTTCATGGCATTGAAACCAAACCCCCTGTTTTCCTGCCCTTCCTTCCTTCCCTCCACGCGCCCCTTGCCCTCTGTTAAGTTGTGCCTTCATCATCAGGCCGTGCTGCTGCGGTCCCGGCTGCCTTGCCAGACTGTGGGGAAGGCTCTCTGTGAGAGTGCTCCGTGTGCTTGCAACCCGCTGGAGATCTCACCGCTGCTCCAGCACAAAGTGTTACTACGTGACGGACGAGGTCGTGGCAGACGTGGAAAGCGTTTGCGTGTTCCCTACCCCGTGTCTTCCATAGCAGGTTTTCTATGCAAGTCAAGAATTTGCATCTGTTGGAAAAAGATATATTTTGCTGTTTGTAACTCCTTTTTATGCCTCCGGTCGCTATTGTACTTATTAAAGAACTAATTCTTCATTCGCTGAGGCTGCCTGCTCCTCCCTTCCCTGCGGGTGCCACGCTTGAGCACTCGCCTTTTAAATAAGCAAAGCGATAAACCCCTGCCCTACACTGTGGCTCCATTTCCCGTGTCCTGGCAGAAGCACGGGGCAGCCCAGTGCCTGGCAGCTGCTGTCCCTTTCTGCGAGTGGGCTGGGGAGGTGCTGGGGTGTGCAGCTTGGCAGCGGGGCTGGGTGGTCTCCAGCTGGGCACAGCTGTTGTCCCCTTCGACGCAACTATGGCTGGAAGAGCTCCAGATGTACACCATCATCAAGGTCCTGTGTTTAATCCAGCAGCGTTCAGGGTGGAAGGGGAAGGATAGAGGTTATACGTTTCTAGGGAAGCACTGCTAATGGTGCTGGAGATGGTACTTCTTCCAGAAATGCCTGAAAACCCTCAAAAGAAATGGGGTGGGAAGGAAGGAAGATGTATGAAAAATGGTGTTTGGGGAGACTGAGGCAGCTTTGCTCTTTTTGTTGTCTAAAGCCAAAAAAGGTGCCTGCCAGTACGTTCCCCAGCTGGGAGGGAGAGGGAATTGCCTGGGATGGATTTGCTTAAAGTGTTCCTTAAGCTGCACAGCAGCCCGTGGTGCGGTGGGGTCCTTGGGTGGCCTCACATGTAGGACCATGGTGCTGCCAGCCCAGGGGGCCATGCACCTGCAAAACACCTCCCGAGCTCGCACCCTTTGCCGGCCAAAGCTGGCACCTTCATGAGCTCCGATCCCCAGCCTGGGGTGGGAACATCCCTCTTTGGGCACAGAGCCATCCCAACCAGGCGACACCTTACAGCCCAGCCACACGGTCGATTTTAACAATGTTTATTGAATCACAGTTAATGGCAATCAACGCAACTGCGCCCTTCAAGTCAGTTTAATTCCCGTAGCTTATCGGGATTTTTGCTCTTTACTTTGAGAGTACTTTCCAGTAATCAAGGAGGCAAGAAGGGCTGGAGACACGCAGCTGTGCTCCGTGTTTAGTGAGGCCTCCATTTACACGTTGCCAAGGCACCGATCCTACTCAACGATGGTGATGGCCTTCTCCGCAGAGATCCCTTTGACCTGGGTTGAAGTCAGCTTGGCTACCATCTTCTTCTCTCCTAATCTTGTCGGCGTGCATATTATTTCAGATTTAATGATCCTACCAGGCTTTACATCCCTAAGGAGAAAGAAAAAAACAGTCCCAGCATGAATTAATGGTTCTTATTTGCTGCTTTTGAATAATTTTGCTTAAAGAAATAGCCGCTGCCTGTGTTTAGGGTGTTTCCCTTCTCCGATGCCCAGCATGCAGCAAGCAGGGTTTGGCATGGCAATGCTGGCTGGTGGTCCCGGTGCTCCCTGGAACCCCTCCCAAACCGTCCCATACTGCTGAAACAGTAAATTCAGCTCTGAAGGAAGCAGCTGTGTTCACGCTGGCCAGTCTGTGCCCGGCATCACAAAAAAAAGGAGGGAGAGCCCCCATCGTGCCTGAATTCCCTGAGCACGCCAAACTCTGCGCAGGTCTTTCTGCCGCCGGGACTGAGCCCAAATGTGGCGCAGTCTCGAACGTGGCTTTCAAAGGACTGTGTTACTACAAATCCCCTGATTGCTTCTTCAGGGGAAATAAAAAAAAAGAAACAAAACAGAATTCTCCTTTCATACTGGGCTCACTGCCTTACCCCTCATCAAACGTTGCCATCTTAAATATGCCCAAGCCTTCCACCAGCAGCTTGCAGTTGTCCAGGGGCACATTCAGCTTGTTCTTGAAGATGAAGGCACAGGTGAACTCCTTGTTCAGTTTGGCCGTTTCTGGCATCTAGGAGAGGAGAGAAGAGAGAAACAAACCCAAATGCTGGGGATCAGAGAGGTAATAAAGATGCCAGAGCTGCTGGCAGTTTGCTCCTCACCACCAGCATGGTGGGGGACAACCCGTTATATCCTTCCCACCCTCCCACAGCACCATGTGCTCTACCCTGCCGGCTGTTTTCCCAGCTCTTCTGTGGTTTCTCATCACGTTTTTCTTTCAGAAGGTAGAGCTGTGGGATTGGAGATGGGCCCTGTACAAACTGTCCTTTTCCATCCCCTTCCCTCCAGCAGCCCTTGCCTGCCCCTTTTATATGGAGCAATAAAATCTTCATTTTATGGCTGCTTTCAACCTTCAAAGGTTGAATAGCCAAATAAAACGCCGAGGCGTCTCAGGAGGCAGCTGTATGGGAGATCCCCCCGGCAAATGCTGACACCACCATGGTGTTACTGTGAGCAGGGCTTTAATCCCCATCCCTGAGGAGCCGGGCTGGCGGCTGCCTCACCTGGATAGTGATGGGGGGGTACTCAAATCTCATCGTCGTCTCCTTGGTGAGTTTGTCATTCGTGTCCTGGATCTCGGCAATGCCGGTGACGTGGATGAGCACTTCGTCTTCCACCGAGGCCAGTGTCTTCATGTACGTGTCAGCTGCAATTTTCAGAGGGACCTGTGTCTCTGTGAGAGAGAAAACACAATTTAGTGCTTCATCACATCTCCACCACCTGGACAGCAAATTTGGCTCCGGTGGCTGGTGCCTCAGGGTGCAGGATGAGGCATATTTGCTGAGACCATCCTGCTTTTGGGCAGACCTGGGAGTCCTGCGGGGTGAGGCCCCCACCTCGGTGGGTGGTACCCGGCACACGCAGCCCACGGGAAGGGTGGCTGAGCCCACAGCATCCCCCCACCAGGCTGAGTGCTGGCTTGGGCCCATACCCAGCATCTCGGCAGCCATTGTCCCCGGCTGCCCTGGAGCTCAGGAGGAGGCAGAGGAGCGTAAGGTTGGGTACATTTAAGCCCATGTCCCCTGGGGTTTCTCTGAGGCACTACTTGCTATAAAATTAGCTGCTTTCCTTTCACTTCAGATTTTATCTTTAATTGCCTGGACAAACATCCAGTGGATCAGGAAAGCCCTGGAATCAGCAGCGTGGGATCTTGAATGTTGCTTTAGCCGCAAGGCTTCCTGGCTAAAAAAAAAAGCCTGTCCTTATCTCTAAATGTGTGTAGCTACCTTTGTGTCCTATCCTGCTGCTTTCTGACAGCCACAGTGTGAAAACACTCAGCTATCACCAGCAGCAAAGATTTTTTTTTTTTGGCATGTGTGACTCAGTCTTGGAATAAGCAAGTGCTGTTAATTATTCATCACTCATTAGTTCTCTTGTTTAGCAAATTTCAGTCATACATTACTGGGGATCAGAAATGCAACTCAGGTCACTCAAAGATATGCCATGAACAGCATACAGCTCTGGGGATCATCCAGGCAGGCAGCCCTGAGATTGAAATTTGCTTGGGTGGAGAATTCAGAAAATAACACTCACCAGCATCACCACCAGCTGATCAACATTAGAGCAGTGAGCACAAGAAAAAAAGAACAAAAAAAAGGCTGAAATTTCCAGCCATCTAAATCTTGTGAGGGATCTGACTCATACAGAGGCACCAAAGCCTGCAGCGGCGTCTTGGATGCTCACACAGTGAGGACGGCAGACAGACGCTCCAGCACACCTCGCTCGTGCTGTGAACACGTCTGCCTGCCCACGCTGATGTATTTCTAACCACCTCGCTGAAGCTGCAGCAGGGCTAAACCCTTCATGTTTTGGGCCCTGCTACAGTGGATTTCCAGTCTAGAACTACGACTCCCAAATGCAGTAACAAGAGAAGCAGGTAACAGGCAGACGATTTCTGCTCTTCGTGCTGTAAAAGCCAGGCACTGACCTACATCGGAGCTATTACGCGCCAGCTCAAGTGAAACACCAGACTGCCACGGTAAATAGCCCATAGAACACAGCAAGCCTTTCCGTGCCTACCAGATTTGCCATCAAGCTTGATGGTCTCCTTGACATGTCCAAGGCTGGCCTCAACTTTCCCAGTATAGGACTGCAGCTGGCAGGAGCCAGCAAGATTGATGGTCCAGTTCCCAGGAGTAGAGGTCTTCACTGTGATGGCCAGTTCAAGGGGATTGCCAGGACACAAGGCTTCTTTATTGGTTATCTCAATCTGGAGCCCACTCTTGGAGACTGTCTCCTGTGAGACCCCAGGCTTGGGGTAGCCGGCATCCATGGGCACAGTTGAACTGAAGCGTGCACGAGGTACTATTCCTAAAGGGTGTAGGAAGGAGGAAGCTCTCCATACCGACTCCCTTTCCTCTTTGGAGCCTGGATGAAAAAAAAGATAGGTGATAGTTGTATCTCAGTCTCCTACCCAGAGCCACCTTCCTTCTACTTATGCTTTTGCTGCTGGGCAGAGGGGCTGTCAGGGCACCAACTGCCTCCAGCCTCAGCTCAGGAGACCCTCTCGGTTTATGATACCATCAGATCTAACTGTAGCATTTTGAATGGGAAGAATTTCCTGAAAGAGATACTCTAAAATTTTTCAGCCTGAGATTTTCCTGCTCCTCACTGGGAAGAGTTTAACAGTCTCGCACAACACAGCTGGATCTGAGGCAGGCAGAACCATGGGAAGGTAATGTTTCGGGGTTTTTTTGTTTCCAGTATGGTCTGGGGAATGGAAAGACAAAAAGAACGAGAATGAAGAAATGAAGCAACAGTCAGTCACACCACTAGGTTGGTCACTCAGCCTGTGTCTTTCACTGCCTGCAAGCTTGCTCACATCTGTCCCTATAGAGCAGTCTATAGGTGTCACTACGGGCATGCAGATGCCCAGGGGCAGAGCTGCCTCCCCCAGGTCTCCAGGCCTGATCCGGGGTTTGCCACCGCAGCTACCGGTCTGGTTTTCTCCTGAAAAAAACACGTGTTGTGGGGTGATCTACACGGCCAGGGGTCTTCTCTTTGACACTACTTTAGAGGATGGGGTCAGTCACCTTCAGGGAACTTGTACTGCGAGGTGATGTCTTCCCGCTTGTCCTGCCCCACGGCTTTTGTGCTGATGTTCACGCCAACGCCTTGGGTCTCCGTGCTAATCTTGAAGTGCTTATCCTTGCCGTTCACCTTCTTGACGAGCCAATAGACTTTGTCAGCGTTCACTTCCGCATACACAAACTTGCTGTCGAAGGGCAAATACACATCCCCTTCTCGGACACCCTTCACCGGGCATGGACCACACTGGAAAATACCTAGAAAATGCATTCAACACCATTTGCTTTTCCAAATATCAGCAGAGACTCCAATTTTTTTTCCACCCTCAAACCCACCGAAGCAGGACTCTGTGGCCATGGTATTTGACTCTTAGTAGTAAATATTCCTCCAACCCAGTGGTGAACTCCAAAAGCCCCATTTATCCCTTAGCTTTTGGGCTTTCTTATAGATGATCAAGGTATGGTAAGAGCTTTTATGTGTTTCCCCTGACTTAAATAATTTTAAGGTTTGAAAGTCATGGCTCAGTGATGGAGTCAACCTAGTCCAGCCACCTGTGTTTGAATTCCTGGCAATACCCCACTTTCTGCACAGCCTTGAGGATTCATGTTTTTTGTCCTGCCTCCAAATTCCCTGCATCTGTGCAGGAAGGATAGTCACTGATTTGGGCAGTCACTGCTCTCATTTACCAATGAACGGACTTGTGACGTCCTCAGGAAAGCTCTAAAGAAAGCATCTTTACTGGGGAAAGCTGTGGCACCTCTTACTACAGACTGCTTTGAGTCCTCAACTTCACCAAAGAAATCAGAGGATGGTGGAAAGAGAAATTAGCTCTGATTTCCAGCTGTGCACTCTAACCTCTAAAATTACATTTGTGTCCCCACAGCATCCTACAAGGTTGGTTTTCTGCCTGCTGAGAAACACCATTC